TGGCTTAAGTTGAACTTTGATGGTAGTGTCTATCCAAAAATTGAAAAGCAAGCTTCGGCAGCCTTTTTAGGGTTGCTCAAAGGAACATTATTTTTACCTACAATGGCCAACTCAACTTTTGCAACATTAATGAAACAAAATGAAGGACAGTAAAAGGAGTTGTCAAGCTTCAGGATGATCATGTACGAATCATAATTGAAGGTGATTCAGTTAATGTTGTCAAATGGTGCATTCATCCTCATCTTATTCCCTTGCAATTGACCTCTATAATGGATGGAGTTATTCTAGTCACCAATGGCAAAGAAGTCCTTTTCTGCTTCATCAACAGAGAGAAAAATAGAGATGCAAACTGCCTTACGAAATTCTCTTGCCTTTTGTTTTGTTTTTCCTTGTTTCTCCTTCCCCTCGTCTCTCTTTCCTTTTTCTTTCTTTTCTTGTTTTTGCTTCTACTTTTTTTAGTTAGAACCCTATTTGTAATATTTCATGTTCTCAATGAAGTTACCATTCACACTACAAAAAAAACAAAAAGTCTTGGCCTAATGATAGGCTCATAGCCAAGCCTAGGCCAAGGCTTCTTTGTCGCAATTTAGGAAAAGAGGCTCGACCTAGTGATAGGCTCACAGCCAAGCCTAAGCCAAAGCCTCTTTGGCGCAATCTAGGCTGGGCCAGCCCTTAGAAGGACAACCCAGGCAAAGGCGAAAGATGGTCTAATCCAATCCTGGCCCATTGCTAGAAATACGGTCTAATCCAAGCTTGGCCCATTGCTAGGCATAGGTTTTTAGGAAGTATGAATATGTGATGGTACATAGGCGGAGGCAGTTGAGAGCATGTGCGTGAAGCATTGTACCATATGTGCTTGGAGGGAGCATGTGCGTGCACCATTGTACCATATGCGCTTGGAGATTACTTCTCTCCCAATAGAGAGTGTGCTTCGTGTTTGTGTTGGTTTGGTGATGCACGTGCGAGATGATACATACAGGCTCTTTTTCTTTGGAATGGGAAATGACCTAGAGATAAGAGTCTTAGAGAGAGAGAGAAATGACCAGTCTTAGAGAGAGAAGGGGTGTGGGTCTCAAGAATCTCTTTGAGGACGTGGGGAGCATGTGAATTCATTAATAGATGGTCCATATCTCTCTCTATAGGAAGGATAAAGTTTATATAAGAATTCCACTTTAATATCAAAGTAAGATGCGGCTCAAATTAAAATTGATCTCTAATTAGCTGTCTAAAAAATAATACATTTTGTAACATATTATCTAGATCGCTTATTCTTAAAATTTTGAATTGTATATAGATCAAATTTTTAGAGGTTTAAGTTCTATAAGTAGAAATACAATAGATTTTTAAGTCACCATATAAATTATTGATGCCAAAAACGGGATTGTCTACAAATAGACCATTTGTCTTTTGTACATGGAAGTCGCAATTATTATTGTTCATCGTATTTCAAAATGGGTGGTTGTAAGAGTGCTATTGAATAGACACAAAGTTCCACATCCAATTTGACATCTAATGGCAGGAATAGTTGTAAAAGATAAATGGTTTCTTTGTAGATAATCTCTTAAAAAAAGAGCCTTATTTTGATGAAAAATTGTTTCATGTGGGTTGGACCACATTTCTACAATATGCAATAGCAAATGTTTTTTTAATAAAATTATTATTTCTAATTTTCAAAAAAAAAAAATTTCCAAATTCATGATCTCCATATTAGAGATTACGTATCCTTAAAAATTAAGTCCAAAAATCCATCTCAAAAACAAATTTTAAGGGGTGAATAATTTCTACATAAACTCGTACAAACTATTTTGATTTTTTGACACTTGGACGTTGTACGCTCTACGCTCTCCTCTAGAGGCCCCCCCTTACCTTGAGAACATCTCCCTTCCGGGGCTATAAAATGTAGTAGGGCAAGCAATTGTGGGCAACAGGGCTGGTCTATTCAACCCGATCCAACATGGCCCTTTTATTTCATCATTTTTCCTCTACCCAGGCTGGCTAGGATTGAGCCAGGGCTGGCTAGGCCTGGTCACAGGATGGACTAGGCCTATGAGGACTTATGCCAGGCTATTGGCCCGACACATGCCCCATTAGGCTGGAATGGGTTTGATAGAGTTCGAGTCCATCCAAACCTAGACCTGGACCTGGAATTTATTTGGGAGGGAGGACCCATACCCAAACCCCATGGATTATACATAATAAAAAAAGAAAAAATTAGCTAAAAATTTTAAAAATTACCTATATATGTGTATAAAAAAATATTAAAAATTATTAAAAACATGTAAATACCTAATAAAAAGATTTAGGCAATAATTCATAAATTTATCATAAGACTAATAAGAAAGATTTGCAAAGAAAAATGAAATAATAATATATACAAAATAAGAGTACCAAAGAAGATAAAAAGTGTGTATATGTTGCTATATTAATATTGATAAATTTATATAAAAATGTCATATGATATTTTTTAAATAATCGGGTCGAGTCTGAGGCAGGTCCACCTAGACCCGAACCTGGATCCAAATATTATACAGGTCCAAGATTTAGACCCTGACAACCCAACAGGTCTGAAAATTGGACTCGTACCCAAACCCAAACCCTTGTCAGCTCTCCATCGAGTACCGGATCCAGCTCGAACACTACAAAAATGTAGAGATGTTCATGCACCCCCTCTTATCTCACCGGACTCACAGTAACAACATCGTATGCCTCTGTCTCTGTCACTCTCGAACTACCCCACAACAGGTACTGCTCGAATCGGCCGCACGTCCATCGCCACCACTGCATAGTGATAATTGAGTCCATTGTCCATCCCCTCTCTCTCTCTCAATCGAACCCCTACCTCCCTATCACACTCAAACCCAGTATCTACAGTGAATCAACGCCCCACCTTTTATCCCATTAATCCCCACATCTTGAACACGAGACCCACGACTTACACATAAAACCCCTATTCCAAACCCCCCTCGTCCCCCTTTTCAATAACTATCTCCAATTTCCATATATATAGTAAGTTGTTAGCCTCCCTCTCTCATCGGCCCTTATCCAACATCAGTGTTGGCAAAGTCGGCCGGATTAACTCAGAACTAGTCGGTCAAAATCCGGTACTTACTGATCTGATTTTGGCCTGTTTAGGTGATCCGACTGATTATTTAAAAACTAAAATTCTAGAAAAAGGGATTTTTTGGTAATCGCTTTCTTAATTTTTTTATTATTTTGGCAAATATTGAAAAGTGATTTGGCCATGAATACTTATTTTTCTTTTTTTAGATTATTTTTAAAACACCCTTGGGTACAAATCAATTTTTTAAAATCCATTTTTTTTTATTACTTTTAATCTTCGTTTGGACATACTTTGTTTTATTGAGCTTTAAATAAACTTTTCATAATTTAAAAAGAAAAGTATTTTTTTTAACATTTTTTATCCCAGTTGGGTCTTACTCAGTTAGGCGGGGTGAACCGTTGGTTTACCAGTTACTCGGATCTGGTCCTTGGATAGTAGTGGAGTCCAATTTATTGAATGTTGTCACACATTAGGGTTGAGAATGGGTTCGGATCTACCTAGATATGGATCTAGATTCGGATCATATATATGGGATCAGGATCCAAATCTAATCAAATCCAAATTATTTGGGTTCGAATCCAAATCCAAAAAAGTGTATATTGGATCAAGATTCAGATCTGGGTTGAGTTCATAAAAATTATTTTATATCTATAAATAAAATAAAATAATATATAACAAAAAATACTATATAATATATATGTATGTATAAAATAATATACAATATTTAAATAATTGGATCGGATTCAAGATAGATCCAAATCGTATCTAAATTCTACGAGTACTTAAATTCAATCCGAATTGACTATTTGGATCCAAATCTGAGCCATTTGATTGATAAATAAAATCACCTGGATCTAAATAGGATCTATTTCAAATCAGGTAAACTCTTAGTCCTATCTCAGATCTTTTGACCCTCTTTCTTCTCTCTTCAACTAAAGGACACCGGATATTACGTAACCCCTCCCTCTCTCTCTCTCTCTTCTTTCACTCTTTCACTCCAAGACGAGAGAATAACACGTACCAAAATCCTCACTCAACACGTCCGAGCCTTAGAAAGGAACCCGTCCTCGCCACCCGTGGCCCACAATCAATGGAAAGGCCCAGATGTGCACAAAAACACAGCCCCATTAAGCAAAGGAAAAAGTTTATATAAGGTTGCAATCTTAAAATGTAGAAATAGGGAAGCACTTCAAAAATCCATCGAAAGATGTGGTTTTAATCATTTTGACATCCATGTATATGAAAATATTATGAGCGGTAGAAACAGTGCATATTGCAACACATTATCTAGACCGCCTATTTTAAAAATTTCTATACGTTTATTGATCTACTTAATTTTAATTATTTTTAAAATTTAAAATTTTATAATTATAGATAAAAATAGATTTTTAAATAATCATAAAAAAAAATTTACACCAAAATTATATGTTATGATAAAATTTAGAGATGCGTCTTAACTGGATCAGTTTGAAGTTGCAACCGTATGAAAACCGCACCTTTAACAAAAGAAGGTGCAGTTTGTGTAGAGCCTAGACTCTAAACAATCAAATTAGTGTCTACCTTTAAATAGTAAAGAAAAATATTGTTTCAGTATTGGAGATTTTGTAATAGCTTTAAAATATATTTTTATATTTATTTATAAAGTTTAAAGCTTAAAAAATAGTGTAGATCGACAATTTTATGAAAATTTGAAAATCTTAAAAATTGATGGTCTAAAAATATATTACAAGATGCATTATTTTCAGAATTTGAAATCCATTTTTTTCTGATGTCCATACATCTTGATATCGCGATGATCAATTTGAGAATATTTGAGCATCAAAATACTTCTTCTAATGAAAATTTTGAGGTAGACTCTTATTTGATTGTTTAGAGCCTCGGCACTATATAAACTTTTCCCTTAACAAAACTGCCCCCTTTTTGCATCACAAGGGTTTGAAATAATGGACGGGCGTGCCTCCTGCATGTGTTTTTAGAGGTACGCCCTGCCTTGCTGTATTTTGCATGTGAAGCCCCCTTTCATCTCTCTTACCCATCCATGTGAGATTTCTAGAGAGAGAAGATAGTTCCAGAGCTAGAGACTTTTCTACTCACTAAATGGCGGTTTTGATTTCCTTGTAGTGGTGAGATAACGTGAGGATGAAAATGGAAGTATAAAGACAAAAGGATCTGAGATTTGGGATGATTCTGATTCTCTTTTCCTGGTAAAACCTCTCTCTAAAACCCCTTTCTATTCTATAGCTTCCAAGTTCCAACTCTCAGTGAGAAGCGTCACAGTTTGTTGAGAGAGAAAATGGGAGGTTCAGAGTGTAGCAGCGCCTGTGAATCCGGTTGGACCATGTATTTGGATCAGTCTTTGGGGAAACCCATTCCTCACACTTTGAAGACTGGGGATGATAGGCCCAAAACTTGGAGCTTTGTAGAGAGAGAAGAACAGGAAGAAGAGGAGAGTTTGTCCATGGTTTCTGATGCTTCTTCGGGGCCGCCATTGCAAAACTTGTGTGCTTGTGATGGAGTGAACAATGGCTTCCTTCTCGATCAGAGTGGTAAAAGGAGGAGGATAGGAAGAGATGAGAAAGACCCATCTTCCATTCTTGAAGACACTGCTAGTTCCCCTGTTTCCAGCTTCCCCAAGGTAAAGTTCAAAGATAACATCTCTCTCTCAAAGTGTTTCTGTAATTGGGCATTCTTTGAAATGGGTTTTTTTATTGTATACAGAGTGGCCTCACTCTCACCAATGACAACAACCTTGAATGTTATCAAGATGCTATAGATTTTTCACAGGGATTCTCCACTACTCATCTCAAGGTTTTCCCTTTTCCATTTTTTGCTTGTTTTATTTTGCGGGTTTTTCTTCTTTTTCTTACTTCGTACAACATTTGAATAGATATACATGCTAATCACCCATTCAATGTTGCAGGAACGAGCACAATTGCAGAGCAGCTTTGGGCTTTTCTCCACCAAACCAGTTAGCTCTCTCTCTCTCTCTCTCTCTCNCTACTACTCTACTCTCTCTCTCTCTCTCTCTCTCTCTCTCTCTCTCTCTCTCTC